AGTTCATTAACAGAGGTGTTCGTAACCCGAGGCGGAGTTCGCAAACCGAGGTAAATTTTTGCGGCCGGAGCTGGTCATAACCCGGAAAGTTCATTAACAGAGGTGTTCGTAACCCGAGGTACCACTGTACTTTTGTTTTTGACTTGACCACACCCACTTTTTTGTCCTGGCCCTACTTTGGGGAGGGTAGACCTCGGCCCAGAAACGTTGCTGCAGTAGAGCAATCAAGGGGACTTTGAGTGTTGTGGAAAGCTTGCCCCCCGCCCCGACTCCAAAGTCCATTTGCAGCTTGAAACCAAATGCAGTTTTGCCAGCAATGAAAATCAACATCCTTTTGAGTTGGCAAGAGGTGCTAAGAACAGAGATTTGCTGATTTTTCCAAAAGACCTTCCTGGATTTATAAAATCCTGGAATTCAATAACACTCCTTTTGTTTTTGTTTTTTCTTCATCCCCTGCTGGAATTGTTAATGTGTGTCCTGTAACAGGGAAAGCCAAATAGAAAAATGTTTGTTTGTTTCTTTCTTTCTTTATCCCTCTCTGTTCTGCTCTGCTTTTTGGTTCCTTGTCTTTGGCATCTCTGCACATGATCATTTACAAACTGTCACAGATTGGGAATCTTAACTCTGCAGGGGATTAGAAAAAGAGAATGGTTTGTTCTGTTGCAAATGTTCTCCCTCCCAAGTTCAACGGCGTACGATTTGAAGGTTAGGATCCTGTTGGTGGATTCCATCCACAGCTATTTAGCTAGGGTAGATCTTCCAAGAAGCAGTCTATCAGAAGTAGCTTAAGAAACATGAACATGCTCTTTGTTTTCTGCAAACAGGAATGTCTGGATTTGGGCCTGTGAACCTGTCCAAGGTTTGCAGTTGTGGAATTGATGAGAAGGGGGCAAGCATTGTGCCCATGCACAGAAACGAGGGCTCTTGGGTGGAGGAGATAGGGAGGGAAAATGGACCTGGAAGGACGGACCAACTGCAGAGCAATTCTAGTTTTTGTGCTTCCTTTGCAAAAATATTCCAGAGCTGAATATGGGTAGGAAAGCTTTCCTCCTTTTGCATTTGCTGTTTTTGCACATTCCTTCCTGGGCCAGTTGCCCTCCATAAACGTCAGTTGCAGGGCTGGAACAATCAGCTGTGTAAATAATACCACATCTTGAAAAATGACACTGGGTCAATTCAACTTAAGTAGCCCATCTGGTTCTTCTGCCGTTGGTGGCGGGGAGGAAAGCAAGTGGGCTTCCTGTGTGTTCTGACAGAAGGCGATTCTGCAAAGAAAGAGCAGGCTAGCTGGAGTAGGTGTATCCTGTGCAAAATGATTTTCTATATATATATGCCTGCTTTTTCTGCCAGTTGGAGAGAAGCGCCACTCGCTGCTGCAGAATCAGACAGGCCGAGCAGTCTTGAGCGACCGGATCGGGGCTCTGCAGTTAGTTGCCACGTCAGAAAGTTAGAGTCGAATATTTCAAATGTTCCGGAAACATTTCCTGGTTCTAGCATTTTAAAAACACCAACCGAGGTTCCCAGCCTGTATGGAGTTTGGATGCAGGCTTTAAGGTTAAAAGAAGGTGGGCCAACTTAACCAGTTTTCGATGCATTTATTTTTAAGTACAAGTTTCTAAAATTTAAGCAGCCTTGTGAAGACGCCTTGGACTCAAAGGAAAGTTGAGACGGGCAAAACGCTCCATGCGCAGAAGATCTGGCTTTCACAGGCACCTTTGGGGTATCTGGGGCTGTGCATGGAATGAAAACGGGGTGGTTTTGCTCCAGCCAGAAGTGGTAGCAGGCAGAGCAGGGAGAATGCCAAGGATATTGTGGGCACAGTTAAGGCAGGGAGGTGCTGGGACAATTGGGGCTGGGGGCCTGGGGGCGTGGGCTACTCAGCCAGTGAAATATGCTGGACTGGGAACTGCAGAGGGAGGATCTGTCTTTCTCCAGTCTTGTCTGAATTTTGCTTCATCCCAAAGCCCCAAAGCATTTTAGCTGTGCTGAACTGATCTGGCCCAGAATAGTTTGGCAGAACCTCCAGTATACAACAGGTTGTTCTGAGTTTGAAATAAAACATTTTTTCCTGTTTCATGCACCCCCTCCCCCCAAGAAAGTATTCGCAGGCACTTGTCATTCCAGAGCATCGTATGAGCTGTATGTCAAAAAGCGTGGCTGCACACCTGTCTCTGATTCCATGTCTGACAGGTTGGATACATATCCTGAATTACTAGAATCGTTTCTAGTGGTGAAACAGTAAAGCTGGCTTTTGCCATCATGTGCAGATAATCCACAGGTATAGCAACTGTTACAATCATACTGGTTAGTCCATCGTTTGATAATCTAATGATGTCCAAGTATCTTGGATGGCAAATCTGAGAATTGTGAGTTTTGTAATCCAGGAGCTTGGGAGAACGTCAATTTGGGAAGAGGATGAGATTGTTCTGTTCTGTTTCTGGATTGAGTGTGTTACATCCTTGGTGCTCATGTCCTTTCAGAAGGAATTCTAATGGTAGAAGGAGATGTTATTTTCTTGCTGCTTGGCTTAAAAACTCTTTATCAAAAGAGTTGCATGAAATTGCCATTCTCTTGAAACAAGTGAAAAGGGTGTGTTACAACTTTTGGGGGAACTGGTACTACTTGGGGTCCCTTTTTTCGGGGGACCAGCATTTGAGGGTGGACCGGTTGGCAGCAACATGTTTGTCTCACCAATCCAGAGAGTTGATCTTGCTGGCTGTTGACTTCCAACTCTTTCTAAGAAAAGATAACTTGACTTCAGCCTGATGAATCACTAGGGATGAGTTCACACAGGACAATTGAACTAAACCAGGGGAAGTGAAATTATTTCCAACCCCAGGAGGTGAGGCAAAGTCACTTCTCAGTTTCCAAGCCAGCCAACCCAACCTGGTGCCCTCTAAATGTTTGGTGGGGCATGGCTGGCTGGAAATTATGGGTGTTGAGTCCATGGGGAGTAGTGGCTAATGTTTGGGGCTGCAACTGGGGAGACTCAGTCCATGCTCAGCTGTGGAAGCTTATTCAGAGACTTGGGGTCAGTGACTCTCTTCTGTTTTAGCCTACCTCACAGGATCGCTGTGGAGGTCAGTTTGGGAGATGGAAGGGTTCATTAGTTGCCTTTTGCTCCTGGTCATAAATTTAAGAGACAATAATATAGAGCAGCGTTTCTCATCCTTGGCCACTTGAAGACAGATGGACTTCAACTCTCAGAATTCCCTAACCAGCCATGCTGGCTGGGGAATTCTGGGAGTTGAAGTCCATCTGTCTTCAAGTGGCCAAGGTTGAGAAATGCTGATCTGGAACAAAACAGATTGGGGGAGGCTGCTCCCAGCAGCAAAAGTGATTTTCTAAATTCCCATTCCTGCATTTGGAATTGCCCACCTTGAAGCACCCATTTCCGATGCCATGAATCCCATTAGTAGGAAAAGATTCCCGTTGTTGCAACTTTAACGATCCCATGAGAAGGTTCTTTTGTCTGTTTTATTTAATGCCCTGCTGATATTTAAGGGATTCTTCCTTCCGGATCAGCACCTCCAGGAAATGCAGAAAGCCCTTGCCTTGATTTAGAGACACAGGAAGCGAGATTGTGAAATCTAGGAGATGGGAGCTTGAGGGCCATCAAGGGGTGGTGGCGAGGGGGGGCAGGGGATTCTCATCTTTCCAGTTCCTGTTGCTCATCGGCTGAATCACCAAGTGCCCTTGAGCCTCCAAGAATAAGACTGGTACCCGAGTGGAAACTCCCTCAGTGCTTCCTTTGTTCCTGCTCAGGGGGCCCTTCCCTTTCGTCATCCTTCCTGGTCCTTCCCATTGTGACTCTTGGCATGCCACTGATGCTGCTGTAACCTTTGTCAAGTAACCCCTTTCCTCTCCTGGTTGCCAGGCCCCCTCCCCGAGGAAGAACGCAGTCAGGACTTCAACAGCGGCGGCGGCTTGGTGTGGACGGGTCTTCTCTGGCTGCAGCGGGAATCTTCGGTCCCCAGCAGAATGGGTCCCGGGCTGGCTCTTAGCGTGTATCTCTTGGCCTCACTGATTCTGAGCATGGATGCCTCTGCAGTCAGCAACTGGTGGAATTTAGTGCCCAGGAAAACAGTGTCCTACAACGGTGAGTCTTTTGTCCTCTGCGAGGGAGCCTCTTTATGCTGGATTGTGTATCTAATTCAGTGTTCCTCAACCTTGGCCGCTTGAAGATGTGTGGACTTCAACTCCCAGAATTCCCCA